TCGAGTCTGGGCCAGATATTCCGGTGATTAATATCATGAGCATCGATCCACGCACTTGGGATTGATGACATGCATCAACCAAGTCAGCAAGCCTGACCACCTGATCCCGTTAGTTGCCTTTTACGACAAGCATAGGCGCCTTTTATGGCAAGCATGGGTTGATGAAGACCTATTCTACCACGGATCTTCTACCACAGATCTTCACGGGTCTGTCCTATAATAACAACTATAACCAATATAAAGTCACACCAAGAGATTCATGACATGTAATTATTGAGATCCAACATCAATAATGGTACCGTATTCGACGTAAAAAGCGCCCAGGGCGCTCTCAAAATTAGAAATATTGGGGCTCTTATTAGAATATTATTTTGGTGAAAAAAAAGAGAGTTGAAAGATAAATTTCGTTGTTTATGCTGACAGCCTAAAATGTTTATATACGACAGATATATTTTTCCAGAATTTAATTGCCCATATTTAAGGTGCATGTAACACACAGGTGCGTATTATACGCGAATAAATAAGTCTTGTGTACATTTATCAATCAGAAGGGGTGCTAATTGGGATTGTTCACTAGCCAATATATTAGCAAATATCGCTGTGGGCGCTTATTAAAGCGGGGTGCTTAATACGTCGAATACGGTACTTGTTTAATTTCATGTGATGACTGTGCAGTGTTCGAAATGCCCATAGGTCGAAGGCAGGTAGAACTTGTGTCAAGTTGTGTGGGTCCTTATGGCCTGCAGTAAATTTACATGTCTATTCATTTGTCACGATAAGCTGCAGTTTTTTAAATGAGGGTTTGATGAGTTTAGTTGGGACTTGCAGCGCAGCTTCTAAAGTCTGTGGATCCTGATGGCAGCCAGGCAATATTTTAAACACTATGAGTGAGTGAGTGAGTGAGTATGGTTTTACGCCGCTTTTAGCAATATTCCAGCAATATCACGGCGGGGGACACCAGAAATGGGCTTCACACATTGTACCCATGTCGGGAATCGAACCCGGAGTCTTCGGCGTGACGAGCGAACGCTTTAACCACTATCTACCCGACCGCCCCTTAAACACTATGACTGTGTATCTAGTATCAATAAGATGTTAGTGATGCAAAGTTAGGCATCGGCTGATTCAGATTAATAAATATACAAATAGGGTTGTCCACAAGTAGATACTTTGCTATTCAATGAGAGCCAGCTGTGTTTCGAAGGCGAATGATTTTGCTAACGGGGGAGAGTGTGGTTTGCTTAATGTCGCTTTTGTTCAGACAGTATTTCAGGTATACTCGTATCAGGCTGTGTCAGCTTCATGTGGAAGGAGAGTTCTAAGTATTGCAGGTCTCAGACCAGTGTCCAACCCAGACCGCGCGATTGCGCGATTCACGCTAAAAAATTCAAATCACCCCTCATAAAAAACTCAAAGCGTGATCTGTCGCGCACAGCAATTTCTTGTACAGTCAATTACTTTATCAGCTGTTTATCCCTACCTTTAGATTCAATACTCACTAAATCTTTAATCAATTAATGAAGAAAGACAGTTCACAGCAAACATTGTAAACAACTGTCGAGGACCGATCGATAATAACCGGAAGTTCGAACACGAGTTATACGTCCCTTGGGTTGCTGAATAAATTATCGAAAGGATTTGCATAGGAAACGAAATTTAATTTACTTTAGTAGAAAGTGTATCAAAACTTTGATCAAAATTATGTTGTATTTTGTTGTTTAATAATCAAAAACCTTTGAGAAGATGTTAAAAGACAAATAAATATTCTATATTGAAAAGTTCTAGAAGTATTTTTGAGCATCTAGTTCGTTTTAGTTTCGTTTCTGAAATCACACAATATGAATCGCCGACTGTCATTGCAGACGATCTTTTGATAGTGAAAATGTCTCGCAAAAATTACAGACTTTTTTAATCAAAATAGATGTTCTAAAAAAGACAATGATGAAACCAGTCACTGTAATTACTTCTCAAACTGAAGGGGAAATCGATCCCGGTCCTAGTGACTCAAAAAAGCAGTTCCTTATTCTGATCTGTTACACTTTTATATGATGATGTTCCAGTACATAATACAAAATAATACATTTTTGAAGAAAGCAGTTATCCCCCCTACTTTTTCAAAATCCCCCCTATTTTCTACATGATGGGGGGGACAAGTCTCTCCTGATTTTCAATTCTGGGTTGGACACTGCAGACACTTCCATAGAGGGCAACTCCCCTTTCCTTATTGGCCTATTGTTTTTAAGGAATTGAAAGTGAGTTCGGTTTAATGCCACTTTGAACAGTATTCCAGTTACATGCATATCACAGCGTGTCAGCTTAATGAGGGAGGAAAGCCCGAAGTGATGCAGGTCTCAGACATTTACCACTTTGGTGTAACCCACGACCACAGGTATAGTGCCGACAAACTTAGAAACATTATCAGGGCGAACTGGGATTCAAACCCACAATCATAGGTTTCTGGCATGACCAAGGGACGCAACTCTGCACAGCATATTGCTGCACCTTAGATGACAGGGCCACCCCTGCCCCCTTAAGGAATTGAGAGTTACTTATTCCCTTACTTATACACTTTCATAAAAACATTCTATTGAGGAAAAAAATTGAAAACAAACCAGAAGTCTCTGTAGCCTGTATAATACTCTGCGAGTAGTGAAAGATGCATGTGTAATGTATTTTTTACATGTTGCACATGCGCCAAGCTCCGACATCTAAATATGTTGCATGATGCACAGCTCTTTACAGTTTGATGGGGTCGTAAACACATATTTAATCAATCGCTTGCACATTTCTAAAAGAATTATAGGAAATAAAACAGTCCTGCATGTTTATCTGATTTTTATCTGACATTATACTGGTAACACAACAGAATACATATTATTTTCTAAGTTTTTCATGATCATTGAAATATTTGAAAATATTTAAGTTAGTATCACACTGTAATGCCATGTGTCTGAGCCCAGTTGACAGTTGAGTTACACGTCCTCAAGTTATACAATGTGGGTTTGAGGCACACTGGTGATACGTTTCCGATAAAGTTTAAGATCATCAATAGTTCTATCATGATATAACATTTATACTAAGTGTTCCTATAATAATTAGATCCACATCAAGTGCTTTTATGAGATATCATGGTGTAATATTTATACATCATTCATATAATAATAGTTTAGCAAGTGATACATATCAGCAGGGAAAATGCATATACAAAATATCAGTAGTTTCAGTTATAGCTTTTTAGATAGATGCTAGTCTAAGGAAACGAGAACATTATCTCCAAGGCATACTATTCAATAGGACAAAAGTTATGTCTATAAAGTTTAATTGATTTATAGCTTTTAGATAAATACTAGCCTAAGGTATCAAGATCCCATCTCCCAGACATAATATCCAATAAGGCAGAGCTCCAGATAAGCTGCGTATCGGTGTAAAATACGCATCAGATATGCAGAAATATGCAGTAAAACAAAATCCAAGCGTATCAAATACGCAATGAACATTACAGATACGCTACAAAAATAAAACTTGTGCGTATCATCAAAATATTGTGAAGTAACCCTGCGTATTTGATTAGCAAATCAGCAACTTATTTTGAAATTATAAACAGGCATTCTGTCAACCTTGCCAAACCCCACGATGACAGTTACATCATGATCATTTGCCATCACACTTTCTTGTGGAAGTATGGTGGTACATGTATTTTTTTGTCCTATAAAGCTGGCGAAACCCACACGACACCAGTTTGCAGGGACTAAATGAATAGTGTTAAGCAGAAGGGGTTTGTCGCTCTAACCAAGCAGATCACTCTCCCACAGCCCAGAGGGTTGTACCGAGTCTCTGTGGCACCCTCAGCTATAGTTAAGATATTGTTCATTGTTAATTGTTCTTGTAAATAAAATTGTAATTAGTCTCCTGTGACTCCGGCTCTTTGCTGACTAATTCCCCCAAGAAAGTCCAGCACACCATTTGGAAGGTTTTCTTCAGCCGAACAGAACAATAATAGTTCTGTCTATTCAAAATGTAAATCAATTCAAATATTGGTTCAAGATAATGAATGTTAGATAGCTAAATGTCCAATCCCGAAAAATATTGGAGTGTTTATACAAAAGAATGATAAACACAAGAATGACATCACAAATGTGTCAAATACAATGGAAGAAACCCACATGCATGGGTATGGTGCTGACAAACCAGTGACTGACATCATGAACATTGATCCATGCAATTGGGATACAATGACATATTTCACCTCCTGCTGAAGGGCATGATGACATTTTATTATTTACAGAGATCACAAGGTTAGGGAGACCTCATTTAAAAGAGGGTATATCATTGGGAGTTTCGCTATTTTAATCAACTTAATTAAAACATGATATATCAAAGACACTGAGGTAAGATGTATTTAAAAATCAATTCCCTTCCAGAATTCATAACACGGGCATCTCAAAGTGACATAGAGGGAGAGACTGTCCACAAGGTTAGGATGACCTTGTTAAAAAGGGATATATGATTGGGAGTTTTGCCACTTTAATCAACTTCAATAAAACATGATATATATATATATATCAAAAGAAACTGAGATGACATGTTTTTTAATATCAATTCCCTTCAAGATTTTTTTTACATATATGACTCGGCGAAAGCCATCTCAATGCATTGCATTTGAAACCATTGACAAAAGTAAATATATGCATATGTGATCACTACCAACACAAACAACTTGCCTATTATTAATTCAGGAAAAAAAGAAACATGTCTGGCCATGTTGTTTCTCCAAAGTGTTGGCCAAATGACTCTAATAATTAAATTCAGTGTGCGCTATTTTGATCCCGAATATATTCTAAAACAACCACATTCATAAAACAGGCATCTCAAAGCGGTATAGAGGGAGAGACCGCCCACAAGGTTAGGGTGACCTCGTTAAAAAGGGGACATTAGCAGGGAGGTGAACGGAACAGCCAGTATCAAATCAGCGTTGTTGCTATGTAAATTGATGGAAATACCTTTTGAAAACAAGAATGTCTTGGTATTCAGACTTCTCGTGAACTAAGACCTCTTCCACTTCTAACGAGACAGCATAGCCAGACCACATTTCATTAACTTCACGAAACCAGCTTCCTTTGACAAGAGCCTCTGTTGCCATGATGCACGTTGTTCGCGATCAGTCGGTCAAATGCTTCTGCCGTTCACGGAAAATGTATGCACAAAATGTCAGCTATGGGAAATTAGTCCTTGTAAGTCACTTGGCTCGGGTTTTCCGTGCTGATGGCAAAAGAAGTACTTGCACTTAAATGCCAGGCGAATCGTTCACTGGAGTTAACCTCTGAATGCTATATGACGTCTAGCTCAACCAACCCTAGTTATATTCAGCGATATCAACATGTGCGCGCTAATTTTGGCAACAAGGTGATTTCCGTTAGAGTTACTTCCCTTTCAGGTCAATCGGCTGCGTTGTCGCTGTTAACACCTGGACAATTAATTATGTGTGTTCATCGCATAGATAAGTGTGTTTCAGCTTAAGCATGCATTTCCCTAATAGTAACATGTCTATAAACTCTTGCCCTTTATAAACTAAAGAGGTTTTAGGAAACTTGAGAGAAGTATTCAATTAAAATCGGTCTTATATTTGATTTATAATAGGACAATGTACCGGTTGTATTTTTTTTGGTTTACAAGACGATCATGAAATCTGAAATTATCCACACACAAATTTCTGTACCGCGATTACACGTGACATTTCATTTTTATAACATCTTAATTAAGAACATTAAATTTTAGTCTTAATTCTAAATAATGCACAGAATAAATGACAAATCTTTCATTTATAAATTATGAAACTATTTTTCGACATTCCCCTTAACGTATATATAGAGAATCTCACCCGAGTTTTGTTTTCTAACATCAAATATACAATATACGACTTGCCGTGGAGTTTGAAAGGTTTATGGACGGGTGTTGATTATTTTTATTATCAAAAGGCACGATGGAGAGATTCCGTTCATCTTCCAAAATTATCCTTCCAACAAAAGACCCGTGAATATTCCGGGGTAGAATAGGTCTTCAGCAACCCATGCTTGCTGTAAAAGGTGTCTATGCTTGTCGTAAAAGGCGACTAACGGGATCGGGTGGTCAGGCTCGCTGACTTGGTTGATGCATGTCATCAGTCCCAATTGCGTGGATCGATGCTCATGATATCAATCACTGGATTGTCTGGTCCAGACTCGATTTTTTACAGACCGCCGTCATATAGCTGGAATATTGCTGAGTGCGGCGTTAAACAACCAACCAACCTTCCAACTTTTTCAGTGTCTTGGGAGAAAAAAGTACAGCCTACTAGCTTCAGTGGCAGACACTAGTAATGTTATTTGTTTATGACGTCATGTTAACAATGATGTCACAATTGTTTGCAAAGCATTGTGATGCAATTTGATTATAGCGATATCTCCTGGGAGATATCTTTTGTTATTGATGAGATCACTCAATAGTTTTTTTTGTAACAGTGTCAATTACATGATTTACATCACGTGCTAACGGGACTAGTTTTTATATCAGTTGGTCGTTGGTATAGTAATATGCAACTGTGATCTGCAGCGTCTACTCTACTCCTAGACGGATAATCTACTCCCGATTGACACTACAATTTTTCACAAAAACATGAGAGATGCATATAGACACACTACGCATACATATCAAAACTGTATTACTGACATATTTTACAGTACCTTTTGTCGTTACCTATCGCAGGAATCGCGAACAAATGCGTTTGAGTGAGTGAGTATGGTTTTACGCCGCTACTAGCAGATTTCAGCAATATCACAACGGGGGACACCAGAAAATGGCTTCTCACATTGTAACCATGTTGGAATCGAACCCGATTCTTCGGCGTGACGAGCGAACGCTTAAACCACTAGGCTACCCCACCGCCCCCATACGTTTGAAATAGACTATCACTTTGGTTTGGGATGATTACAAAGTATTTATATAGCAATGAAATCGTTGTTATTTGTGTCTTTAACAAAATTATTAATTGGTTTGTTATATTTTACTTTAGGGGTTCGATCTAACATAAGAACCCTATGTAAGACCATTATTTTTCTTATAACCGATTTCATTGGCTCCTGTTACATAAAATCAGATTGAGGAACGAAGGGATAGCACAGTGATCAGAGTGTACGTGCATTGCGTCGAAGAGCTGGGTTTGACCCCACATGTACCATGAGTGACATCACCACACAACCCCACCCCACCCCACCCCACCCAACACCCTGGGGTGTCCGCCGTACGTTCAATCAATAACTCAAATGGTTAAATGTTTTTTTCACTGCAATAGAAAACACGTCGCGCATGTCGAAGTTTCCGTAAGGCGATGCAGTATATGAATACAAGTTTATATTTAATTAATCGACCCATACCGCCGAATATACTGGCGGGCAAAAGAAAGTATGCATTCATGTTTAATGGTGGCAAAAACATCAAACAGTTGGGGTTTTTCAGTCTCATTTTTTTATTTCTCTAAAAAAACATCAACGTACAAGAGTATACAAACATCAAACAAACAAGAACTGATTATTCGATGGTGATGTATTTGATCCAGAGTGACTTAATAGCACTCTGTTTTACCAACGTAAATTAATTAATTACATTACATTTCCCGAATTAGTGTTTCTGGACTATTTTATTTCTGTACATTGTTGAGTTACATATCGTTAAGGGGTGTCCACCCGATCCGTCGAAATTCTGAAATTAAGGTAGGTAAAATTATTCTACGGATCGGGAAAGTATATTCGTGTTTACTTAACGTGTCTGCAGTTAGAGTATTCCATGATTTTTTCTCATGGGGGTGATAGGGAACTTGACGCTGTTAGGGACAGTATATGACACCTGACACGAGGACTCGGTTATTTCATATTCTTTATTCTGTTGTTACAAGGATATAAAAATACATTTTCACATACATACAGCAATAACAGCATTATAAATAATCAATATATATATATTCAAACATTTAGTTTATCTTGATGATTCTAACAATTTTCATGATCTTTATTCATAAAAACGTTTACAATAGCCACGTTAACATACATACACAAACATAATAAATAATCATAAATATAAATATTTATCAAGTAATCTTCATTCATCAATGATCTTTATTCATAAAAACGTTAACAATAGTCATATTAACATCCATACACCAACATAAATATTTATCAAGTGATCTTCGTTTATCAATGATCTTTATTAATTAAAACACTCATTCTTTTTACTGTAAGCCTCTTAGTTGCTACCATCCGTTCACCCCTTAATTAGTGAAAGTAGATGCGCCCAGTGAGTAGTCATGGTTGAGTGGTAGCATATATTCGACCGATCGGGAAAAACCCAGACACTTTTTTTTCTACAAATTGAAACATTTTATTTTCAGAAATTCGACGGATCGGGTGGTCACCTCGTTAAGGATATCTAGATTAGTTCACATGCTGTAATCCTTTGCTAACATCGGATTTGTGTCATTGTCCTAATTAGCTATTCGTTACTTAATATTATGCCATTTATAGCGTTAGTCGATTATTCCCTGTGCCGAACGTTAACCGTTAAACACCTCCATAAGTCCCATGTCTAGGGCAACTCCAATGTCTTGACATAAAATTTTCTTGCCTCAATCAATTATTTACATTTTCCCGCTTTTCCACAACAACTGTTAGACTTCAATAATAATAATTGTATTTTTTCTGAAGCCTTCAAAGTTTGTACCTTGGTTTTTACGAACCCTGTATTTTAATTTTGTGTCACCGCTGTACATATAGTTAACTACACTCGTCCCTGTTGGAAACCATTTTATTACAACTCGCTCGTCAGATACGTTTTGAAATACACTCATTGAAATAACAACGGTTCCTAACGGGGACTCGTTTAGCAATCTGTATATCAGAAGCTGGTTTGGGGTGATTACACAGTATTTATATAGCAATGAAATCATTGTTTTTTGTGTCTTTAAAATTTCAATATTTTGTTTGTTGTATTTTACTTTAGGGGTTCGATCCAACATAAGAACCATATGTGAAGACCATTATTTTTCTCATAACTGATTTCATTGGCTCCTGTTATATAAAATCAGATTGAGGAGCGAAGGTTGGTTGGTTGGTCTGTTGCTTTACGCCGCAATCAGCAATAATCCAGCTATATGACGGCGGTCTGTAAATAATCGAGTCTAGACAAGACAATCCATTGGTTGATATCATGAGCATTGATCCACGCAATTGGGGCCGATGACATGCATCAACCAAGTCAGAGAGCCTAACCACCCGATCCCGTTAGTCGCCTTTTACGACAAGCATAGTCACCTTTTACGGCAAGCATGGGTTGCTGAAGACTTATTCTACCCCGAATCTTCACGGGTCGAGGAGCGAAGGGATAGCACAGTCATAGTGTTGAGTTCGGATAGCACACTCATAGTGTTGAGTTACATATCGTTAAGGATATCTAGACTAGCTCACATGCTGTAATTCATGCGAAACAGCGGTTATTTGTGTCATTGTCCTAATCAGCCATTCATTACATATTATTATGCCATTTATAGCGTTAGTCGATTATCCCGTGCTGAGCCGTTAAACACTTCCATAAGTCCCATGTCTAGGGCAACTCCAATGTCTCTTCGTCTGTCCATATAATGCTTGACATTACATTTGTTTGCCTCAATCAATTATTTACATTTTTTTCCGTTTCATCTTCAAATGTTAGATTTAAATACTTATTATCGTATTTGTTTCTGAAGCTTTCAAAGTTTGTACCTTGGCTATTACGAACCCTCTATTTTAATTTCGTGTTACCGCTGTACATCATTAAAAAAAACATGCATAAAATAGGAGTTTATACATAAAAGTAATAATACAGCTTCACAAGTACTTATATAACATAAAAATCCAATGATATATGCAGATAACACACTTTTTAACCATGTAACAAACGCTTTCTTCGTTTTAATATTACCAAGCAGTGAAATATACATCATATTTAGAAAGGTCATACAACTTCTCATTGATTGACAGGTTTAAAAAGTTGAACATTTTAGCCGTTAAATACTTGTAAAAAAGGTAAAACAAAGATCATCGTATAATGGACATTGAAATTAGACATGGGCCCACTTGCACAAAGCAATCTTAGCGCTAAGATGATCGTAACTCCCATTCTTTAACATAGGCTCACGATAGTCTTAGCGCTAAGATCGTTTTCTGCAAGTGGGCCATGGTCTTCATATGATTATTACAGTCAAAACTCGCTCTGTCTTCAACCTTTAAGTTTATATATTTATGATGTTTCTCTCGGTTGAGTGCATTATGAATAAGAGAGAAACTGTTTTCTCCTCACCAGTATGCAATGGCCCAGTGGGGTGATTAGCTTATATCAAGGGGT